TGGCAAAAGTTGAAAAAATAAAATAACATGACAAAAAAGGATGTAATAAAAGTGAGTAAGCAACACAAAGAAAAATAGAGAACAACATATGAACAATTTATATTCAAACATAAAAGCAGAATGAATAGAATAATGTAAAAAGGAAAAAGCAATAAGATTTGATTCCAACTCTTTGATTTAATAAACATATAATACTATTAAGATTGATATATAAAATTGTCTTAATATTTAGTTTATGAAGATTAGAGAGCAAACTTTATATAGCCAATGTGGATTTTCAACATAAAAACTTCAAGGCAAATGCAAGAAATCTAGTTAAAAATTATGGACACCTAAAAACAAATACGCACATGAGAAAATTATGAAAAAAAAAATCTTAAAAATGTATGAATAACAGATAATGTGATACTTAAAGTATGATTCATGATAACCAATAATTTTATTTGATGAGATTCTAATAAACATAGCAATCATAAGACCTAGACATTGCTTATACCAATAAAACTTCCTTAAATAGAGCTACCATAAGACCCATATATTTTAAAAATAAATGATTATTAAGATAGCAAGCTCTGTTTAATTCCTTCATAATATCCAAATATTATGTAAAAATAAATTAATAAATGTAGTAATTAATAAAAGTATAAATTTAATAACTCAAACCTCGTTTGCAACTTGACACAAAAATAATTAACCAATAATTAAAATCAAAGAATAATTAAATAAAATCAAATCCAAAAAAGTAAAAAAAGACCAACGTTTTTGTGACTAGCGCCTTTATCAATGGTGTGGCACTAGATGCACTTCTTCTTGAATATCTTCTCCTTAGCTTTCATATATTGAATGATACTTGCTTAAATGAGGTTGTTGCTTTTTATTTCAATTTAGAGGTTTTTTCAAAATAGAAGAGATCATTAAGGGAAAAAGTTAGGTATTTTTTAGTTGGTTCCAACAAAGAAGAAAATCATTTACAATTTTTGCTAGAAAAATGTTTAAACAACATATTGAATATTGGGATAAGAAAAAGATGAAATGTGAAACACCAGTAACAATGGTGGAAGAGGAAAGATGAAAGGTTTAAAATTGGAAAAATACCTGTAGAAGATAATGCTATAAAAATCCATAAATAAAAATGAGAAAATATGACAATATCTTTAAAAAGTTAAAAAATACCATACATGTCCTTTTTGAACAGATGTAAGCCAAACATGAACCCGTAGACAATTTTATATAAATGCTAGATGTTAGATATAGAGATAAATATGTTCAATTTTTGCTATATAGTACTATTATTAAAAAGTAGAGTAACTTAACAGAGCAATTTTCATTGAAAAATATATATTTATCTTAAGAGAAGAACAACTAATCATGCTAAGAAAAAATGAAAGTGTCGAGAAATCAATTACCCATTGAGTCTATTTCTGGTTGTGTTAATCTAGAGCAAATGTTCTAGTACTTAACTTGAAAAATAGGTTTTTTCATCAAATACATTTAACATTATAAGTAAGAAAGGCTTTTAAATATGAGTAATAACTAAAACCTTTATAATCAGGGTAACACTGAGTTTGGTGTTAATGTTAAGCATGAAATTTGAGTTACTATCTCACTGCTGTTCCCATTCCATGGTGATTCCCCCAACACCGCTTTCACTTATAATAATGAAAACACCTAAATAGTATGGACAATTTGTGCAATAGTATCAAACTTTTAAAAATAGATAAAACTAGCATTTTTTGTCCCTAAAAATTATATGACAAAAACCATTATTAGTTTACTCAAAAAGACAAAAACTGATATTGTAATTAACAAAACAAACCAATAAATTGTGATGCAACGAAATCTAATCTAAACCAAATTTTAATTGTGTAAGTAACAAAACCAAATTTGAATTATCTAATGGGATGCTAACTATAAAAAGTTTCACCAAAATGTAGTGGAGGGAATAGTGTTAAAAAAATGAGAAGTCATACAAAGTGTATTTTATTGTGGAGACTCATACTCAACCTATGAGATATTGTTTGTTTTGACTTGAAAGTCTTATAGTTTTATCCCACAAAATGTACCTTATAAGTTTGGGTTTAAGTATTAACTTATATATAATAGTAGATCCTTAGAGCATTCTGATGTGAGTTTGAGTATCATAAACTCCCCTCATTAAAGCTTAACATTCTCGTTAAGCCTAGCACAAAACACACACAGAATCATATAACTACAAAATTGCACACATAAAATCACAGAATTAGGATCACCTAGGTATTGAGAATCTAGAGGTGGATCTCACTATGTAGTACTTAGCTATATTGAAACTCTAAAAGTGGCTCCTATAGTATAATACTTAGCTCCCTCAAGATTCTAGATGTGGTTGTTATAATGTAGTACATAGCTTCCGTTTGACTGGTGGTTGTTTTAATATCATTTGTGAAAACCCATACCCAACCTGCAATGTATTATATGTTTTGACCCGATGATCTCACGGTTTGTCATACAAAAGTTATCTCATAAGTTTGAGTTTAAGTTTCAACTTATATATCATAACAGATTTTTAAAACATTCCAATGTGAAATTGGGATATTACACTTATCAATGTCTATAGTAAACAATGTAGACGATTTTATATATATGTTAGATAGTAAGATGTCATCACTTCACGTCAGGTTATCATTTTATACTATTGCAATGATATATGGCACTGGCAAGCTATAAAAGTGCTTAAATGCAAAATACATAAGTAATTGAATTGAATTTTATAAATTAGAAGTTTTCTCAATATTAAATTTATGAGGGAAAAAAATGTAACCAAACATAAATGAATCAAATTTTGGGATATAACCTAAAGTGCTAACATTTTATCAATAACAAATTTTTCATGAGTTAAAAATTCTTTAAAATCCATATGAAAATCCTTTTTAACAAATGTACAATAAAGAAATAAGAGAAACTATAAATCTAATACTTAATGAATTCTAAAAAATTAGTTTGAAGATCTATTTTTGAAATAATAAAATTACTTCATAATATCTAAGCCATCATCTTTATTTCATGGTGTTTGTTTCTTATAATAGTTCAATACTAGAAGGTAAGATATCTAACTCTATTTATTTTTTACATTTAATCAAATAGTAGGTAATAAAAAACTAGAATGAGCAAAATAATAAAATTTAAGGGATAAAACCATAACAAAGCAAATTGGCAATATATATAGTATTATAAAAAAACAGCATATGAAAATTTAAAAATGTACATACAATATGTATAGACATGGGCGTTTAGCCACACCCTTTACATTCCTCCATCCTTACATAAACATGTAAGTAGAAAGAGACTATTATACATATATATATAGTGCATATACATGTACCAATAATATATTCATAAATATAGAGAAAAAAATGACATGAACCAAATCAAATGGGCATATTTATATAAAAAGAATCATGCACAAAATCAAAATAATCGACTCCCAAATTTAAGTATTAAAGTTATAAAAAATTAACACTTAGTGTCTTAATAACCAAATCCTAATAATCATAACTCAAATACCAATCATTCAAAATAAAGCAAAGCTACCAAAACCAAAACGATTGCTACTTAAGATAAGCTCTTTATACTTATTAATATAGACGTAAAATGTTAAATATAATCCTAAACACTGAAAATACAATAAAATAATGATATAAAATGATAAGTAATGTTATTCCTCCAAAAACTTTTAGAATTTCTCAAATTCACTCCTAACAAGTAAGGCAATAAAAAAATCATTAGATATAAAAAAATTAAAGAAAGAAAGTATTAAAAACTTAATTTTCTTATTTCTTCCAATGCATTCAACAAATGTAAGTAATCTTAATCTGAATGAACTAAAGAAATCCCATTATTGTAGTTAAATAAATAAAAACAAAAAAAATCATAAATTCTTATTCCAAAGATATTTTAAGTGAAAGAACTATTAATCACAATAGTGAAAACTATGAAAACAAATACTCTAAACAGATGATACATCATAACATTTACAATTATAAGTAAATAGATAAATACATGTTTTTGAAATTCAATTGACATGAAGAACCAAAAGTGGAATAGAAGAAGAAAACCTTAAAGTTTACATGAAAATTTTTTTTTTTTGTATAAAGTGAACATAATAATAAGAATAAAAAATAAAATTATAAGTATAAAATCTAACATAATAAGGATATCATAAAATAAGAGAAAAAGATATAAAACACATGAATTTTTTTATCTTTGAAATCCACCTTGGGTTAGACCTATAAAAATATAACAAAATAAAGTTAAATGTATTAGATGTCAAACATAAAATATATTAGCAAAAACAAAAATAAAAAAAACAAAAAACAAAATTTTAAGAAAAAAGAAAATAAAGAATTGAATAAGAAAAGTAAGATTAAAGTTGAAAGCATGGTGTGAAGAAAATATGTTACTTTAACTATTATAAAACACAACTCTAAGAAAAAAAATCCAACTTAATTCAAAGGGATATGTCGTCCATCAATTTTATTGTAAAAAAAAAAATCAAATATGAAAAATAAACCCAAAACCATTTTTTTTAATTTTTTATTCTTATTTTTTAATCATGCATGTCACAATAGTTTTGATAAAAATAAATAAATAGCTATTATAAAATAAATAATTCTTTCTTTGCTCCAAAAAGAAAAAAAAAAGACATAAGTCGCACAAGTAAATGATTAGAGACAAATTTATACGGTAGTTAGATAGGATTCATTATTAATTATTTATATATAAATAATTCTTAAAAGAAAAAATGATTATTAATAGAGTACAATAATAATAATAATAATAATATAAATGTAAAAGATGCCAATCCTTTTCAGGGAATCTTTCTTTCCCACTTCGCATAAAAGGCAGCAAAAATCCAAAGCAAAACCACAAAAATTAAATTAACTAAAAAAATCGTAGTGATAAAAAAATTAAAAGAAAAAATATATTATTTTCAGTTTTTTTTTTCTCTCTCTCTCTCTCTCAAAAAAAAAAAAAAAAGTTTTTCATCCTCTTTCTTCCCTTGCCAGACCGCCCTTCTCGGTACATCTCGTCTTTTATCTGTCCAATCAATCCTTACTAAAAAACAAAAATAATAAATATATATAAAAAAAATCCGCTTTGTAATCTCTTTTCTAGGGTTCCTCTCTCTTCTACTTGTCTCAACAATTTTGACTTGAACAAAACCAGCCTATTTCCTTAACCATGAAGTAATACTGTACAGATCTTCTCTCCTCCTCCAAACCCTATTTCATTGTAAACGGTTTTTGCTTTTTAAACCCTTTTCTGATTTTCCCTTTCCCTTTTTGATTCGTTCTCCGTTTACTTTTTTTACAGTTCAGATTTTAGATTTTCAAAGAAACCATTAGATTGATTAGTTATTAGGGTTTTTCGTTTTGGGTTTCCCTTTTGAATGGTAATTTTCAAGTGTAGATAAAATGGATGCTTCGGAGAATCTTAACCAATTTGGCGATAATTCTACAGGTTTGGTATTCGATTCATTTTGCTTTAATTTACTCAATTTATGGGTTTTTTTGGGGTAAAATTAGCTGTGGGTTTGTTTAATAGTTTGGATTAAGCTCGAATTTTAGATTAAGTTAAATTTGAAATGTTTAAAGTCATGAAGTTAGTGTGAAGATGATTGTGAAGTCAAATGTGTAGCAGATTACAAGAGAATTAAATGTGGGCTTTCAATGCTTAGGTTAGGGTTTTGTAGCAAAAGCATTTGTGAATAAAACTGTTTGATTCAGTTCAAAGTCAAATATCTGTGTTTCCAGATGTGAAGGTCTTCTAGGTTTAGGTTGTTGCTTTATTTCATAGTGGCATGGACATTTTCCAGTATTGGAATTATAAAGTTTAAATTTGGGTACTAACGCACTTCAGTTTAATTATTCAAATGTGCTTGTGCTTCGGTTGTGTTCACTTTGATTTCGAATGTTTTTAGTGATTGAGATAGTCACAATTTATTTGAATTATTATTGGACTGGAGAAAATATTTTTGGTACATATGGAAACCTACTGGGCCTTTGGCTACACAAAGGGTGGTAACTTTCTCCCATCTCAATTATCCTATTCCCTGCCCTTTCCAATGATCAAACTTGAGACTCAGGAGATGGAGTCTCAAGTTCTAACTGTTGTGGTATCCCCTTGGGCATACAGTTCAAGTGGCTTTTGTGGTGGCAGATGGTGGATTAGATAGTGGCTTGCTTGCTGTTTCGTCTTAAGGGAAAAAAATAGAAGACCCCTTGTTTTGTTTTGTTTTTTTTCTTTTCATAATGGCGTTTATACTTTGTGTTCTTGTGAAAAGGCTGGATTAATGTATGCTTGAGTTGTTTTTCTTGTCTCAATTTATTTTTTTCTGAACATGCGTCACTGTTATTTTTAGTGATATGATCTGTTCCTTATGTTGTGCGGATTTTTTTTTTTTTTTGAAGAGTGCATTTTTAGTAAAATTAGCTTTTCTATGATGCAGGAGATGCAGTATTTGATGCATCACAATATGCATTTTTCGGAAAAGATGTTCTCGAGGAAGTTGAATTGGGGGGATTAGATGATGATGATGAGGATTTGCACACAGCCAGACTTGATGAGGAGGAGTTTTTGTTTAATCAAGAGGAGGTAATATTCTTGTTTCTTTTCAGTTTTGTTTTTCCTGTTTCAATTGTTCTTGCAAAATTTTGTGGTGTGGACAAAAGCGGTGGTTAGTCGTTTGAAAAGTAAATTTCTCCCTTTTGAAAATCATGCTAAAAAATAGCCTACAAGTGATGTCAGATACTTTTTGTCCCCTGTTTTCTTGAACAGATTGATGCCACCACATTTAGTTAGTGGTTGGTGTGCTGTTTTTATTTATGGATTATAACTCTGTGGGAGCTCATATTGTGTTGTCCTATTTGCCTGTTCAAGAGACTGTAAACCTTGTTCTCTGCATTTATAAGTTGACAGTGTAGCCATCATGGTTGGGCTTTCTTCTGAAGTTGATTTGTTTGTCTCTTTGTGTCTTGGTTGTCAAAATAAGAGGAATCTTTTGTGTACTTCTTTTTAAAAAAATTATATTATACAAGCTGCAGCGGTCCAGTCGCTTAATTATCCAGTCAATAAAATTGTATTCCACATTTGAGTAGGTTTTGTAGAGTGTATTATTTGTACTTTGGTGCTTCTTTAAGTGAGGTTTGTTATTTCTCATATGCTTTCTGAAGCAAATATGTTGAGAAGGTAGTTTATGGAGTTTTTTCAAGTATTTCTGGTGTGCTTGATTTATCTGTTCGTTTTATTGCGGGGAAAGAACTGGAATTGTATGAGTTCCCTTACACCTCCTTTCACCGTCGAACTTTTTTCATAACACCTCTTTCCTCAGAATGATAACAATCTTTGACTTTACAACTTCTAGTGGTGTATGAAGCCTTCTTGATGGAATCAGGTTTCTGGGATGCTTTATATCCATCATGCAAAAGTTTTAGGTGAGAACTCATTCCCAATTGCTAGATACAGAAGATTGGCCCTGTTCCCCTTGGGTGGATCCCCTTCAGCTCTTCCCCAACTCTTTCTTTTTGTGGAATTGTGAACTTCAAATAGTTTCTAATATGGTTAAAATTTCATGTTCTAATCAAGAATTTTCATCATTCTCGGTGTTTCTTTTGGCACATCTAACTAACTAATCTTTAAGATTATTCATTTTCATAGTTGATTAGTAGAATATTCATGTTTTAGATGCTTCGTCTAATTTTTTTCTTCATATTTGCAGGGTGAAGTTTTGAGATCCTTATCAGAAATTGATGATCTTGCTAGTACATTTTCAAAGGTTATTGCACTCCATATTTACTGTATTTTACGACTAGAGAGATAGTCAAAAGGATTAACTTCTAATTTAATCTGTTAACTAGTTTATTGTCTTCTTATATTTTCATGGGGCTAAAACAATTTGATCCTTTTAACTATTTTAAAATTTATCTGTTGAGAGTTCAGTCATGCAAAAGTTGGTGCAAATGCCCACATTTACTGTTAACTTCAGACCTTATTCCTATGCTGAGTGAATTAATGGGAAGAAATCTCAGTATCTCACCAAGGCACTCGCTTACTTTTGAGCTCGTGTCTGTCTGGTTTCTTAAGATGTACAAGAAATGTTTACCAACTCCTTTCAAAACTCTTCCAACAGCATTCTTAGAATATTGATCCTCCAAACTTTTATTGTAACTCTGTTAAGTAAAGGCATTGGCATTAAGTATTAGAATGAACCTTAACTTTGCTTGATATTTGGCTTAATTTTCATATAATTCATCAGAAAAAGATAATTTCCTTTTAAATTATATCACCTTGTTTGTTAGTGCCTAGATCAATCTTTGGATGAAAAAAAAATCATAAAGGATAAAGTTCCTATCTTTTTCCTTAATATATCTTAATATTACAGTTCACTGGTGCTGGAGATTCATATTTCTTGGTGGTTAATTCTGGCTTAGCATTGGTGATTGAGTGTTTGCTGATGCTAGCTTGTGATTTTGTTGCAGTTGAACACCGCTGTTAGTGGACCAAGAGGCTCAGGGATAATTGGTGATAGGGGATCCAGAGAAAGTTAGTTTATTTATCTCATTACTTTCTTCTATCAGTCAATTGGAGATGATTGATGTTGTTGAGCCTGTTTGAAGTATGGACTGTAATTGTATGGTTCCAATGCTTTTAATGGAAAACTATGTTCAAGTTTAGGAAAACTTTCAAGTTATTTGAATAAGAAAATAAGATATCCTGGGATCAAGTGGAAGATATATCAAGAAATTAGATTGGGTTAACTGTTTTCACAGTGTTTTTGGTGGTTAATGATTTAGTAGCTGGAAAAAAGAATGGTAAAATGTGGGTTAGTTGTATCAGGATTATGATTGACTTATTTGGTGGAAGATCATTGCTTGTAACATTTGATAATACTCCTATACAGTTGTTATGCATATAAATGCTTAGATGCAGTGGACATGCTTTCCTTCTGATAAATTGAAGAATATAGTTTCCAATAGAAGATGATGAAGGCAATGGATAGTTATACTAAAAATCTAGGATGGAATTCCCTTTTCAATTGGGAATTGGTGGTTAAAAATCTGGGATGGAATTCCCTTTTCAATTGCGAATTGGTGGTTAAGGGTTTGCTTTGGGGAGGGGGCATGGATTATCACAATGTAGAATATGATTTATAATGCAGTCAATCAGAGGCATGCAAGAATTGCATTAAACTTGCTTTGTTTTTCTGCCCTGCCTTTTTTTTTTCCTTGTGTTAATTAAATCATGAAATTTTGCATACATTCAAGTATCTTAAGCATCTGAGTTGTGAACTTCATTGAATATCTCATCTTCAAACTGAACAACCTTTGTGCATGACACGAAGTTGTTCTTTTTCTCCATATTTATGAGACAGAATAATTGGTTGCTGATTGAAGTGAAAGATTTTGTTCTTTTAATAGCATATTCTTGTTACATGACTGAGGAAATCCATTTGATGATTCTCACCTCAGTTGAAATCCATTGGGATGAAGGTCACCTCAGTCAAGCTGTTGAAATTCCATTTGCCATTGTTATGGAATTTATTATATGCTGCACTAAGCAAGACAGTTGTAGGAACCAGATCCCATAATAGACAATTATTTGATGTAAATACAGCATAGATAACATTCTTAGCTCGTGATATTCATAGTACCAATTAGTTAAAATGCTGTTGGATTCAGTTTTTGTTGTTCATAGTGATGTTTATCAAGGCTCTTACAATGTACGTTTAAATTGTCTTATGTGCCATTGACACTCTCAAAATCTTCTACAGTTTTCCTCTGCCCTTATACTAAAATTTTTATATCACTAGTTTAGCTTTATTTTAATTAGTGTGATTGGAGAGGCAGTGAGATGTCAAATGTGCTAGGTGCACTTTTGGCGCCCCTTTACATCGTCAGAATGAAGTAAGGCACCGATTCCCACACACAGACAGAGACATAAATATAATGAAGAATTTTTTATTACACCTAATAAGCTTTAAAATATGTATCTTTTTCACTAATGCTAAAGAGTTTGCTCCATTCCATTGCCTAATATGTTCCATGATGATGCATTATTAACATAATCAATTAATAGTCATCATCTGACACTAGTGCAAGGTTTCCTTCACTACCATTTTAACAGAAAGTTGTGCATGAAGTCATGAACTCTATTACCTGTCATTTTTATTGTTGTAAATGAATATCTAGGAAATAGGACCCTACATAATCAGAGTGAAGGCAACAACTACACAGAAAACACACATGCATGCATATAATGCCATAATTATGTTGACATTTTTCATTATGCTGACCATGGTTTTCTCCTTTAAGGCTCATCTGTTGCCAAATGGGCACATGGGGAGGAATTTCCTTACCTGCTTGATCAGCAGGCTCTTGAAACTGAAAGTATTCCTGAAGGCAAACGCTGGTCATCACAACCATTGCCTAATTTGGACTCAAAGCATCTCTACAGGACATCCTCATACCCCGAGCAGCAGCAGGAAGAACAACACCACCATCAACATTTCTCTAGCGAACCAATTCTGGTTCCAAACTCTTCTTACACTTCATACCCTCCCCCTGTTGTCAGATCTCCTCAAGATTCACCAAACCAACATTCTGCTTACCTGAATGTTCCATATGTGGCTGGTGGATCACAGATGGCATCTTTGCCAAATCTCTCTGACTTCTCTAATTCTCAGCTTCAAAAGCCAGGTTTACATCATGGGTCACATTATGGTGAGAATATGCCTCAGTTCGCACCTGGTCTGTCTGTCAATAGTCGGCTGTCAAATCAATGGGGGAGTCAGCCAAAATTATATGGTGGAGATAATTCCAGTGTTTTGAACAATATGTTGCAACAACAGTTATCTCATCAAAATGGTTTGGTTCTGCCACAATTATTGCCACAGCTGCAGGCGCACCAGCAGAGACTGCCTCATCCTGTTCAGCCATCATTTAGTCATTTGTCAGGGATTCAGCCACAACTATTTAATCCTCATCTTTCTTCGTCCCCTCCTCTAATGAACAAGCTTGAAGCTATACTTGGTATCGGTGAACTGAGAGATCAAAGACTGAAATCTGCTCAGAAAGGTAGGCAGAATCCACGATTTTCTCAGCAGGGCTTTGATAGCAGTGGACTGAAGAGTGATATTGGATGGCCTCAATTTAGATCCAAATACATGTCAACTGATGAGATCGAGGGCATTGTTAGGATGCAGCTTGCTGCAACTCACAGTAATGACCCTTATGTGGATGATTATTACCACCAGGCTTGTCTTGCAGGAAAATCTGCTGGGGCAAAGTTGAGACATCATTTTTGCCCAACTCATCTTAGGGATCTTCCTCCCCGAGCACGTGCAAATACTGAGCCACATGCTTTTCTCCAGGTTGATGCTCTTGGGAGGGTTCCTTTTTCTTCAATTCGCAGGCCTCGCCCTCTTCTTGAAGTTGACCCTCCAAATTCATCTGCTGTCGCCAACAATGATCATAAAGCTTCTGATATGCCCCTGGAACAGGAACCAATGCTTGCTGCTAGAGTTACAATAGAGGATGGTCTATGCCTTCTTCTTGATGTGGATGATATTGATCGGTTTTTACAGTTTAATCAGTTGCAGGATGGTGGAGCACAGCTGAGACAAAGACGACAGGTTTTGTTGGAAGGGCTGGCTGCTTCACTGCAATTGGTTGACCCACTTGGCAAGAATGGCCTCACAGATGAGCTTGCCCAAAAGGATGATCTTGTGTTTTTACGGATAGTTTCCCTTCCCAAAGGCCGGAAGCTGCTTGCAAGGTACCTTCAGTGTCTTTTTCCAGATGGTGAGCTTATGCGAGTTGTCTGCATGGCCATTTTCCGTCATTTAAGGTTCTTGTTTGGAGGCCTTCCCTCTGATCCAGGAGCAGCAGAAACTACTAATAACCTTGCAAGAGTTGTTTCCTCGTGTGTTCATGGCATGGATCTTCATGCACTTAGTGTCTGTCTTGCAGCTGTGGTTTGTTCTTCAGAGCAGCCCCGTCTTCGTCCTCTTGGAAGTTCCGCTGGAGATGGTGCATCTTTTATTCTGAAGTCTGTTCTTGATAGGGCAACAAAACTCATGATTGATTTTAGAGCTGCTGGCAATTACAATATGACCAATCAGTCCCTTTGGAAGGCCTCATTTGATGAATTTTTTAACCTTCTTACCAAGTATTGCATAAACAAATATGATACCGTGATGCAGTCCTTGCGTATGCAGGTCAAACCAAATATGGCAATTGATGAATCAGATGCTACCAAAGCGATTAAAAGAGAAATGCCAATTGATCTTTTACGTGCATGTTTACCCCACATTAATGATCAGCAGAAAAAGCAGATATGGCATCTTTCTCAGCTGTCTATGCTTGTAGGACAGTCATGATAAAAAAGTGGTAGCTAGGAGACGTTTAAATTGATACATGTTTGAGACAACCATGTTGAAGTACAATATGGAGCAAGTGATGCCATGTGCTGATGGAATGCAATTAGCTATACCATTTCACCGTTATAACTATGATGGAGCACCCTCAATGGTTCAGGTGAAGCTCCAAGGATATTTAAAGTAAAGGTCGATTTAGCCCCTTTCAGATTTTAGTTTTACCAGTTGATATGTTTATCTTTAATAACATGCTGCTTCCTTTACCATAACATTTAAGTGGGCCTATGTGTATTATTATGATAGAACCGAGCTATGATATTTTCATTTCCTTGTGTCCTTTCCGTTCATTGGAGCTTATTTTGATGCTCTGTAGTGAAATTTCTGGTATGGAGATGTAGTGGGATAGTAAGTATCGGGTTCAGTACAGAAGATTTCCCGCGTTCTGACTATTATTTTCCAAGGAGGTGGGATGGATCATGTCAAGTTCCTGTTGGAATAGTCAGTGTGTAATATAGCAGACACTGATTAAAGGCATGAAGATGTTTCTTGTAGCTTGCTGGAGGGTCTCAGAGAGTTGCTTTTTGAGCTAAAATGTTGAAATTTAGCTTTAATATTTGGTAACGTTGTTGCCTTTGATTTGATCGTTTTGTTCTTCCGCAAAGTTATTGTTTTTAGTCTTTTTCATTTTATCAAAGAAAGACTGTTCATATCTCAGTGCTGCATTTGGGCATGGGTATTGATGTCAAGGCCATAATTCTTTGGAGCCTTTCAATGCCTGCCCTGAACTAAAGTGTTATATGTCATTTGAAGTTCTAGGGTGAAAGGATGATTTTACCCTTTTATTTTCTTTGGCATTTCTGTTAACATTCAGGTGCAGTTAGCAATTTGTGTATTAATGTCGTCTCATATAAAATGTGTAAAATATAAAAATTATTATGTCATAATTTATCATGAAATATATATTTTTTATTTTATTAAATTTATTTATGACTTTTTTCGCATTGTTTTTTGTTGATGTGTTATCGTGTATAAAATTTCAAAGTATATAATGGGAGGAGGTTCACTCAACTCGTTGGCAGAAGTTAGTTCAATATCATATTCTCAAATAAAACAAGCCCAAATACCTATGAATAGCTAGACAAAACCAAAAGAACGAAAATAGGAAAAAGAATATGGTAAATATTTGATTCAATTTATTAAGGTTTATTTTTTTTTTATGAAGAGATTTTGTATTTGAGTTTTATTCGTTGTTATTTGTTGAGATCATTTTAGATATATGATTTACAGTTATTTATTTTAAATTATCAGATATGATATATTTTATTTTAATTTATGAAATTAAACAATTTATTTACCTTGTAATTTTTTCTTAAAAAAAAAAAAATTGTCTCAAAGGGAGAGTTATGGAAATAGTTTTAGCTTATTACTCTAGATTGTCCTTATGATAGCAAAACCAAATTAGAAAAATACAATTATGTATCTTATTAACAGATATTAATATAATTTTCAAATTAATTTTTATGGAATTTTTTTCTTATTTTTATAAATATATCAAGTTGCTTAATAGAAAGTAATTTTAACACCGATTAGTTTAGTTTAATGGATTAGTTCAATTTTTATTTTGCAATAAAAAGCTTGAGTAATTGAATTCAAGTATTATAAATTATAACCATGATTAACTCTATCCAAAATGCATGTCTCTCTTAAAAATTAAAAAACAAATGTTGTAATTAAACATGTTCATGAACCAAGTTGCTCAAGGCATAATTCGATTGGTTCGGTGAAAATATTTTATTATAAAATAATTATTTTATTATAAAATAATTATTTTATTCAAATTTAATTTTAAAATATATTTAAATTTTTTTTAAATAATTAATATAAAAATAATTTATTTTAATGCTATTTTTAAATAAAATAAATTTAGATGAGCTTACGTGAGCAAACCAAACCACGAGCGTGGCCTGCAGACTAGTGAGCAGCGCGTACTATCAATTTGTGACCAGTTGGATAACCAGGTAAAGAGCGAGTGGGCAGGACATGAGCAAAAAGTCTCCCTCGTCCCCAACCAAACGAAAATAAAATTACGAGAAAGCTCTCTTGTTTGAAGAAAGGCCATCAATCTTCAATCCAAAGGCCACTCAACCAAATTATATGTATGTTCATCCTTCTTTCTCTCTTCATTTTGTGTAATGACATTCAAGTATTTGCTAGAAATTAGAATCATCACTCTGTTTTCTTTTTCCTAATCAACCATTAAGGAACTGAATTAGGCTTTTACTTTTTTTTTTTTTAACATATATAGGAAGCCAAAGCCTGATAATAAAGAGAAGTGATTGCAGATGTTAAAATTCGTGTTTCAAACCTGTTTGATGCCACTCTTAACGGTTGCTGCCTAAACTATTTCAGTTAATCTCCAGGTTCGAATTAGGCTTTTCTTCAACATTTCTATATACTTCTCTTTTTTTTTTTTTCTTGGGTTCATGGCAACTTTACTCAACTCAATGTCTTCTATGACAAACCCATCACCTGAAACAACAAGGAAACCATCTGGTTTCTTTTACCAAATCTCAAACCTTCATTCTTTTTCACTCAACAATGGTTTTACCAGGGTTTTAGCAACTACCCAGAACACAATTTCTGCTAAAGACTCTGTTTTTACTTTACCAAATTGGAAGACAGGGAAGAATGACACTAAAAGTAGGGAACTCAGGCTAACTAATGCTTTTTGTCACATGGAATATATGGTGGGGAAGGGACAGAAGCCTGATGTAGCTCAAGCTACACAATTGATGTATGATTTGTGCAAGGTTAATAAGATGAAAAAGTCATTTCGAGTGATGGAGATGATAGTTGATTCTGGTATTATACCTGATGGAGCTTCTTATAATTTCTTGGTGAATTATTTGTGTAAAAGAGGAAATGTTGGACATGCGATGCAGTTGGTGGAAAAGATGGAGGGTCATGGTTATCCAACTAACAGTATTATTTATAATTCTCTACTTAAAGGGCTTTGTGTGCATGGAAACTTGAAGCAAAGTATGCAGCTGTTGGAGAAGTTAATACAAAGAGGACTAGTTCCCAATGAATTCACTTATTCTTCCTTGCTTGAAGTTGCTTATAAGGAAAAAGGAGTAAATGAGGCAATGAAGCTTTGGGATGAGATTATTGCCAGAGGTGGGATGCCTAATTTGGTTAGTTACAATGTTTTGTTGACTGGGTTGTGTAAGGAAGGTAGGACTGATGAGGCAATTGAGTTCTTCAGGGATTTGCCTGCAAAAGGATTTAATCCAAATGTTGTGAGCTATAACATAGTGCTAAGGAATTTGTGCTATGAGGGACGGTGGAAGGAAGTAAATGAGCTTTTGGCAGAGATGAATGGTGAGGATTGTTCTCCTTCTGTAGTTACTTACAACATATTGATTGGTTCTCTTGCACTCCATGGCAGGACTGAAAATGCTCTGGATGTTATCAATGAAATGATTAGAGGACATTTCAAGGTCACAGCTACAAGCTATAATCCGATAATTGCTCGTCTTTGCCAAGACGAGAAGGTGGATCTTGTGGTTAAGTGTCTAGATCAGATGATCTATGGACGTTGTGAACCTAATGAAGGAACGTATAATGCTATTGCTGTGCTTTGTGAGCAGGGAATGGTGCAAGAGGCATTCTCCATATTTCAAAGCTTGGGAAGCAAACGAAGTTCCTCACCACATGATTTCTACAAGAGTGTAATTTCTAGTTTATGCAGAAAAGGAAACACATATCCAGCATTTCAGCTTTTATATGAAATGACTAAGTCTGGATTCACTCCTGACTCTCACACCTATTCCTCGCTAATCAGAGGATTGTGCATGAAGGGAATGCTGCAAGTGGCAATGGAAATTTTCATAATAATGGAGGAAAGCAACTATAGGCCTGATATTGACAATATAAATGCACTTTTATTAGGATTTTGCAAATCCCAGAGAACTGATCTGTCCTTGAAGCTTTTCGAGATGATGATCAAGAAAGGCTATATGCCTAATGAGACAACTTACGTTATTCTTGTGGAGGGGATTGCTCATGAAGGAAAAATGGAGCTGGCAGCACAAGTACTGAAGGAGTTGCATATGAGAGAAGTTGTGAGTCAACATGCTGTAGAAAGACTTGTTATGCAATACAACCTTTCTGCTATAGACTTTTTAGATTCCAAAATATAGACTTTTGCAAAATTGATTCCAAAAGCATGATTTTTGTTATGAACCATGGAAAATTGTCACTGTAACCAAATTTTGGAACCGGAGTGAGCATGAATCAAGTTCAAGCACAAGGACTCAAACTTTGGGGTTTTTCAGTTGCTTGAGCTGGTTAATGTTTTGTTGTAAATCCTGTTCACTTGTAGAGCATTTCTTTTTTATGTACAAGTTGATTATTATGGTTGATATGACATGATCAATTAGTTCCTCGCAAAAGGCATTTAATAAAAGACTCATTTGGCAGCTTTAGTAAAGCTAATAATTTTATACAATAAAAAAAAAAAATGAAGCCATTGTTTAAAATTGACAAAAATTATATATAAATTTAATAAAATTTAAAAATATATTTCGTATTTCACATAACACGAATTATAACAATAATTTTCGTATTTTATATATAATTTACATGAAACAAACACAAACACACAATCTTTAAATCTACTTTTTTGTCAACTAATCCTTTCTCATACTCATAAATCAGTGTCTACCAACAATTTACCAACAAACCACACCCCTCTCGACCACAATTTTCAAATTTTAACAGCAGGGGCGAGTCACATTTTGGTTACAATTTCCACCACAAACATGGGCAAGAGACTAGATGATAAAAAATGGGAGTCCTGTAAATCGAATAAGCAAAGCCAAAGAAATCCGAGAGAACTGATCGCAGGTTGATCAAGTTAAAATAAAATCTATCCTGAATGTGAAGAATATGGGACAACAATCTATCTCACATAGTAGACCATGGTAGCATGAACAATTATCTAATATTAGACAAAGACCATAGAGTTTACAATTTCAAACTTTTAGGAAGCATGTTAAAGATAAACAGTCTACATAGCTCAAACCATAAAATTCCAACATAATATCCACTAGTACTAGACAACATCTCAAACAGTCTTAAAACTTAAATTAGAATTAGAAGACAGAAAAGATAAGTTTGCCCGAGAACACATCCTCCTATCTTCAGATCTTCATGCAAACATATGCTGGATGATCGTGAAGACAAGGGAAGCACCTACTTTGATCTCTGCCTCATCTTTCGGCGCTTCCTCTTCAGCCTTCTCATGCGTTTCTTCTTCCACTGAAAAGCATAAGAACAAAAATCAAATTAATCATAATAGAAAAAATATGCCCAATTAAAGACAAGTAACATAGTTGACTTTTGTTTCAAATGGCTCATACAGCATAATAATCTAAACCGTTAATGTTTCATTTTGGGTCATATAACCATGAAATTAATGTGGGTAATCAACAACCCCTTGAATTCTTACTGATCATAATATTTTGTTCATATAAATATAAATGACAACAAATCGATCACTTTTTCTCATTATGTTTTTGAAAAATGAACTTGATTAATTGATTTGTAGCATCAGTTCTGTGATAATATCTGCCGATACTTACAAAGCTAGAAGAAAAAAGGATCAGTCAATTTTCTTTTACAGGATGACACAATCACAATATATATATATATATATATATAAAATATTAATATTTAATATTTCTATTTTTTTGTCGACCAAATATCAAGCCTATCTCTCAATACAAACTTTAATGTATAATTCATTTGAGTCTGTTAAGTGTGACAAGTAAAACAACAGTCGTATACCCTCGATCAACCTAATTACAACCCATCCGTTCAAGCGAATTAAACAAAGATTTATTCAAATCCCCAGAAGAAGTTGTGATTAATGTTTACGGGAAGAATTTCTTCAGGGAATTTAGCTTGGCATTGTAAAGCAGATTTCAATCTCCCCACCACAAACTAGCACCAAAACCAAAGTTAACTGAATGAAAAAAAAACACAGCTCTAGGCTAACAAATTAATCACCCTCAATACATTTCATCTCACTCATTTTCCATACTGATATTTTCATCTTAGTCAGCTATAAAGGCAACCAAAACACAACCGACTTGCCAATCGATGAACCATAGCTAAAATTCTACGAAATACATTGTAAAAAATTAAAGAGTAAAAACAAATTATTTTCAAATGGAGAAGAAAACAGAAAAAAAAACATCAATATGCAAGATTAATCGAAGATGTTCAAGGATTTACCTTGGCTCTCATCTTGGGATTGACGCTTTCTTTTACGGTTTGTCGACGATTTCTTTGTAAAGGAGAGTTCCCTTAACAATTAGAAGGGCTTCGTTCGGTATTTAAAGGCCTACGCTTTGGAAACCCTAGCTCGTGTGGGGTTTTTGTGTTCAGTTGCGAGTGTAATTTGGTTATTATGGCATCTAAACGTGTTTTACGGATTATTGTTTAGAAAAACGGTAAGTAATTGAGAGAGGAATTTTTAATTTCAGACTAATAAAAATAGTACGTATCTTTTAGATATATTAAAAAATTAAAAAATTAAGATATATGTAAGTAGTAATGAATTTAATTTTTTTTAAAAGATATTCACTTATAATATATATAATTTTTGATGAATTTATTAATTTTATTGATAAAAATAATATTTTTTATTTTTTTTTATTTTTAAATCTTTAGAGTTGTTATGAAAAATTTTGAATGGTTTTACAAAAAAAATTTCTTATAAATTTTATTAATTTTCAATATTTGAAGGGTGTCCATAAATATCTTTTCATAAGATAAATTCTTCTTTGTATATTAGTTTTTTAATTTCGTTTGTGAAATTAAAAAAATTTTAATGTATATCAAATAATTTCTCATTTGTTAATACTCAAACAATTTGGTTATATATAATATATTTTTATTTTTAATTTCAAATTACATTTAAAAATAATAAATAAAGAATTAATATTTCATATATTTTTAGTATAAATTTTTAATTATACAAACGAGATTAAAAAATTGATACACATTTTTTTAATGAATTTTTTAATTTTATAAATATTAAGGATCATAATAATTCAGATCATATCGAATTTAATTCAATTTTTTTTAGATATTATATATTTTATGAATTTTAAAAATTCAATTTGAATTCGAAGTAATGTTTCATACAATCTAATTTGAACGAAATCGATAAAAAACAAATCAAAATTTACCTGTTCGGTTTATTAGTTTTTGAAATTCATTTTTTTATTTTTAAATATAAAATTTTAATATATTTTAATATATTTTGATATAAAATTACTATTTTTATTTTACAAAAATTTAAAAAATAATAAAAACTAATAAAAATATATAATTCGATTTGATTTGAAATTTTTGATTTTTTATCTTTTGATATAAAATTTGATCGAAACTTAATATACATATAATATCATAACTTAATCCAAATCAAATAACAAAAAAATCGATTAAATCCAATCAAAACACTATGATTTCAAATTGATTTTTAGTATTTTTATTTTTTCACCCATAATAAATATATTCTAAGGATATGTATCACTCTAATAATTTCTTTTATAAAACTTAAAAATTTTACTGATAATGAATGAAATAATTTTTTTATAAAATAATATTTTATTATTTTAATAATAAAATAAGGTGTAAATGAACGAGAGAAAAATGTTTGGGAGATTCAATTCGAGTTTGGTTTATGAATAATTTTAAAAATAATTAGAATTTGGATTATTATTTTATATAAAAAGGGTTCATAAGTATATACTTATCATATGAAATTATTATTTTATACATCAACGAAGTGGTTTTTAATTTAATAGATAGAAATTTATATATATATATATATAATTGTCATATGTTTAGTTAATAATTAAATAATTAATTTAAAATTTTTTTACATGAATAAATATTAACTTTTTAAAATCCGTAGTTAAAAAAACTCTAACTTTGGATAATAATTCTATCATATATTTATTTAATAATTATGGATTATTGTTTACTTCGAAATAACTTTTTTTTTAAAATTTCACAACTTTATTAGAATATTATCACGTGTCCTTTTAATTATTATAAAATTTAAAAAGGGTTTTGGAAAATAATTTTTAAATTATGCATTTGTAATTTTTTAAAGAAAAAATGACTAATATTTTAGAAAGAAATAAGTAATTAATATATATTATGTACGTAATATATGTCACGCTTGATCAGGGCCTTCCGGCCCACCCTGTCGGCCCATAGCAAAATATCATATTTATGAGTGAAAATTAATGTTGAATTATCATACATTATACTCCTTTCATATCATTTTTTTTTTTACTTTCATATATGTTTAAAAAATTTATTTTTATATAGTTAATATTATCAATTTAGTTTTTATAATATTGATGTATCATAATTTTTATTATCAAAAATAAAAAATAAAATTCAAATATAAAAAGAAAAAATTAAAAAATAAAAAAGATTTAATTATAGGATATAAAAAAAAGTGACGAAAACAGTATAATTTTGCATTTACTCATATTTCTTTTTAATTCATATCACATTGGCCACGAAGGCAATGAGGTTTTCGTATCAAATAATTTTTTTACATTATATATATATTTGATCAATCAAGATTTTGTATCATATAAAATATTAATAATTTATATATTTATATTATATTTTATATAAAAGTTGTATGACATAATTTTTGTTAATATATAAATATGAAATATATTTTTTATTTTTAAATTTATATATAAATTTTATTAAAATTTTAATTCATATTAAATATATTTTTTATATTATTTTTGTATCATATTTTATTTTTTTATTTTAAATTAACAGGTCAAACATATATCGTGAACAAAGGTAGGTGGAGAATTTAGCGTTTATTTAATCGTTTACAAATCACAATCTCCCTTTTCTTTTCTAGCAAAATTGTAAGCCACGCAATGTCACTCACCTACAATTGCTTTTTAGAGTATCTATAAGACAACCTAACGGGGAATCAAAAAGGGGTGCCTAATGCCAACTCTAAGTTGAATGCTTCATTCTCCCATCGGATTCTGAAAATTATGGCTGATGCTATTCCTTTGAGTTCCATTTCTGATCCATACAAACACCTTCAGATCACCCTTAATCCCGATGGCACGTTGACTCGCTTCAACAATTCTGGAACAACTTCGGCCCAACCAGAATTTTCCAGTGACTCGAAGACAGCAGTTCTCACCAAGGACATCTCAATCAACAAATCAAACAATACTTGGGCTAGAATTTTCTTACCCCAAGCAAGCACTTGACATGTCACATCTGCTGAAAAGCTGCCCAGTTTTTGTCTACCTCCATGGTGGAGGGTTCATTCTTCTCAGTCCCAGATGAACCATGAGTCATGAATTTTGTTCCAACATGGCTACTGAACTCCTGTTATCATTGTATCAGCCAGCTACCGCCTGGCTCCGCGAGCATCGTTTGCCAGCG